ACAAAGAAGAAAAGTTACGCCAGAAATAAAGAAAAATTTTCGTAGAGGTGCCATTTGTTACAATGAATTACTTTCTAGATAAATTGTCTAGCACGCAGCAACCACAGAAAGCTCAATTGCATAAGGTTCTCTGTCCTTTTTTCCCTTAATCCTTTTCAAGAATATACAAGAACTTATAATTATTTGCACTTCTCAATTCAACAGCAAAGAACTTGAGAACTAAGTTTCTTAAAACATTAAGCAAAAGCAAATGGAGAATAAATGTTATAATACTTGCTATATATCTTATATTCGGTCACAGTTAGAAAAAATAAGATCGTATAGATCAATAGTGGATCATACTGTCTGTTCAAATAAATAATAAATAAAATCCAAGTTTATTTTCTCTTTTCAACGAATCTAGTTGATAATTGAGTGTTGTGATATCTTTTATCTTTGAGAAATTATTTTGCACTAAATTACACAAATGTTAAATTGCCCATTACATACGCTTTTGGTGTATCTAATTGTATGATATAATACACAACAAAAGACACCATTCAGGAACATATACAAAAATGGTATTTATCTTTCTACCAAAAGGAAAAAAAAAGGTATTTACACATTCGCAAAATATATACTCTAGTTTTATATGGACGTACACATACCTTCGTAGATGTATACAATATACTGTAGAAACTAACACGTGGAAATAGAAAAAAACAACTTCTATCATCTCAAAATAAACTGAGAGTATTCTAGTAGAATATCAAAATCAACAAAGACAATAAAAGACTGAATCACATAAACCTGATGAGGTTGTTAGATTTTAGTGGCATACCGTGTGATTTTCTCTGTAGATATAAACCTGCACTACTTATATAGAATGGGTCCCATTAGGTGGGTAATGTGACCAAACTTAGTGGGACCAACTATTATGTGAGTGTGAGAATTTTCTGTATGGGGTATAAATCCCTTTTTCCTTACTGATTAGCAATAAATAAATAAATAAACACAATTGTTCGGATAACTTCTCCAATCATGTGACGATCCTAAGTTTTGAGCATCATCCTATACTCATACTTAACATTACTTAACCTCTAACACTTACTAATTATAACCTCTTAAAATTCAGGCCAACTTTTTTTTTCCATGTACGTCTAAATGTTGTAGCATTTAGCTAGCCTTCTGTTTTCAAGTATTTGTAAAATGCTATAGCATTCTGACGGCATTCTGTTACATTAGTCATCAAAATACATAAAACACTATTTTATTTTACACATAATGTTCAGCAGCGTTTCCAAAACACGTGATGCATCCACAACCCACTTGCCCACACTCCACTGTTGCATCCTCTCTGCATGCCCAACAACAAGTTTCAGGGAGCCGGTGCCTAACCCGAGCTTCCTACAACACGAACAAACTTAATGAGCTTTCGCTCAGCAAGTATCAATAGGTCATAACAGATGCAATAATTATGCATACCCATATATGCATTCATGTCATATATCATAATACATTCTGTACTACTAAAACATGTATGGCTTATGTTCTTCTTCTTTCGTTACATTCTTTGTTCTGCTTTCGTCTCATTTTAGTCGTTCACATCGTATTTTCACGTTCTGAACGACGTTCAGTTCGGGTTTCTCATTCTTTTCATTCTTCTTTACAGATACTGTACCTTTATATGGAATGGTTTCTGTTTTTCATTTTCTTGTCTCTTCCTTCTTATGTGCCATGTCCTATTGTACCATAGCGCGCATAACCAGTGAGGAGTGGGGTAGCTAACCAATCCAACTCAGTCACGGTTTCATATCTTTCATAGTCTCATAATAACCTTTCCTTCGAAGGCTGGTACAAATAGGACTTTTAGTCTCTTACCGTTTATTAATTTTCTCATTGAAACGGTAACTTTAGTTAAATCTTATGAATTTGTGCATTATTGAGCATTTTATCATGAGATTATCTTTTCGTTAAAGTTTAACCTTTCATTTCTCTTAGTTTGATCTCGACTTAACATCGATACATACTTTTTGCAGAATAAAGTTCTAAGATTACATAAGTCTTGTAGATACTTACCTAACATAGTATCTAGCATTCACATTGTATAACATTCAAAATTTTACTATATGCACAATTTTTATGCAACATAGAAAAGTAAGCTTGTTCGTGATATAGCCATAGAAAAACTATTGTACTTACAAAAGTTTTGCTAACAGTCTTTTGTC